AGAAGAAACAGAAGAAACAGAAGAAACAGAAGAAACAGAAGAAACAGAAGAAACAGAGAAAGAAGGAAATAAACATATATAGGTGAACATTGATCCAACCGACCATCCACAATATTCAGTAAAAGAGAACAAAAACAGGAATGGGGAGGGTAGCCATCCAACCGACCGACCTTGGCTATAGACATTGTAAAAGAAAGACATAGGAAAGACATAGGAAAACATAGGAAAGACAGAGTACATAAGAAAATAAAAGATAGACAAGGTATAAAGATAAGATGAACAAGAGAAGACATAGGAAAGCAGTCAGAGAAAGAAGCAATATAACAAATGAAAAATGAAAGCAGCAACATGCTGAACGATCACAAGGTAAAGGACAGTAGAGTCAGACACAATCACACTCGCATGCTCAACGCAGACATCAAAGAAAACAATCAACAAAAGTAAAAACAAACACGAACAAGTAACAAGAAGTAAAAACAGAATCAATCCCACACGATCTCAAGATCCCACAACGTCTCCTTCACCCTTCTCACCCCCGTCCAAATCCCTACCCACGATTCCTCCCCAGAAAACTCCCACCCAGGTCGCCGCAAATCCTCATCCACTAACTCCCCAAACTCCCGCACCAGAGTGCAACACATCCCATAGTGCCACTGATACTCCCTCTTCAAGTGGCCAAGATCCATCCGATAGTCGGGCGTATGTCTCGACACCAGGATGGTACCCTCGGAGAGAAGGATCTGATGATCCCAGACGAGAAGCGTAGCGTAGGTGTCGACGAGCCGGAAGATTTCGGCGTAGATGTGAAGCAGGAGGGGGTTTGAACTGATGCTGCTTGGCGGGGTGTCTTGAAGGTGGTTGATGGTGGTGAGAAGGGAGAGGACTGCTGTTGTGGTTTCGAAATCGGTGGTGTTGGTTAGGGTGGTTTGTTGGAGGGTGGTGAGGAGGGAGGAGAGGGGGTTGTATTCTTGGTGTATGGTGGTGGTCAGCCCAGGTTGGTCGATGAACTCGATGGGCGGGTTTGGTGCTTCGTCTTCGATGGGGTCTCCATGGACCATGCATAGAAAATTGTATATGTGTGTCAGTGCTGGGTGGTTAGCCTGGTGATCGGGGTGTCTGTCCGGATGGACGTGATTGAGCAAGAACCGGAGCGGTGTCCGGAGCGGTTCACGGAGAAGAGGAGCCATTATGTAAATGGCAATATATGACAGGAAGAGAAGTAAATGGCAGATATGATAGGAGAGAAGTAGATGGTAGATGCGGCAGGAAGAAAAGTAAACGGTAAATAAGGCAAAAAGTGAGATGTAAGTGGCAGGTATAAGAAGAGGATGAGAGGTATGTGGAGATAGATGGTCGATATGGTCAAGGTGGTCAAGATGGTTGTAGTGCCGATGGCTATGTATGAGATGGTCGGAATGGATGAAAGGGGTGAGAGAGATGAAAGAGAGAGATGAGATGGGAGATGGGAGATGGGAGATGAGATGGTAAAGATGGCTGAATAGGTGAGATGATCGATATGTTGATATGTCGAGAGGATTAGGGCAGTTGAGATGGCTATAGTAAATATGACAATTGGTCAAGATGTAGTCAAATTGTTGAGATGGTGAAGATAATAAAGATAATGAGATGGTCGAAATAGTGAAGATGTCTGATATGGTCCAAATGTCTGAAATGTTGAGATGATGAGATGTCAACTGAATAGATAGTAGTGAGTCGACAGAAGATAATAGAGAAAAAGATAGCAACAGATGGTAGAGATGGTAGAGATGGCAGAGCTGGCAGAGATGGCAGAGATGGCAGAGATGGCAGAGATGGCAGAGATGGCAGAGATGGCAGAGATGGCAGAGATGGGAGAAATGAGAACGATGAGAAAGAAAGGAATCCAACTTCGCCCTGGGGCAAATGCAAGATGCTATATACTCACCCTGATGACTCAAATCTCGCAGAACCACTGGTAGAGATGATTCACAAAGCAAAATAGACAGAATTGACGCCATAATGTCTATACATAGGGCCGCGGATATCGTCACATCCAGTGACGTCGGGCTCGATATCGTCAGTATGTACACTCCGAAAGAGTCATACTCATCTTATTCATTCTGTCGTAATGCCACGGATACCTCAAGCGAGCGGCTGTCTGTGTGGACGAATTTGAGACGCTCTGTATAGATGTCGTGATGCAGCTTCGGAGTGGTATACTGCGGCTATACTTCGGGAATCTTGTCGGATAAGATAACCCTGCATGCAGCTCCGCGATTAGAACGCATGACCCACATAGTTTGGGCCAAATGTTTTCTATTTGATCCCAGTAAGAGCAATACTGGTAGGTGGTAAGTATAGACCGTGGCTGACCGTCTGCAGATTGGCGGGAAAGACATGCTATGCAATTGGTTGGATCATACCTTTCTATAAATACATGGGACTGATTCAGACAGCTGACCAGGATGCTTCCTTTAGTGATAATCCGAAGTATGCGACGCATCTCGTGGGTCTCTCCTTCTCCGTCCTGTCGATCTCAACATCTTCGTACTTGAGTTTAGAGTCGCTAAGCGCCACAGCCTCCGAGTCCCTTGGAATAGATACGACGAACGAGAATCTCCGGCTCGGATAATGCAGCTACCGATCAACGTTGGTCGCGATCAATGCTTGATAGTGGGATTAAGACCAGCAACTTATGTTGTAGCGGAGCACAAGATGGGAAAGGAGACAATTTGAAGAGATACATGGGATGAACAACTGGAGTAAACATACTGATTGGGTCTGGTAAGATTACTCCACCACTAAGTCTTGTTACCGGGGTGGCAGTTACGACGGTAAGCAAGGGTTCTGATGAGGTTTATTGTTCCTAATACTATCGAAGCGAGCTACCATCTGCTAAGTAGAGACTACTACAGAGAACCGCGTAGCCAATAATACATGAAGAGTCCAAGCACATAAAGATACGACTGAGGTTGCTATATGACTGCTTAGTTGTGGAGAAGAAAACCCCCAGAAATCGCAGATGCCCAGCCTTGCAGTTGCCATCAAGTTCCAGAGGAAGAAGCAAAGCAACACGAGGAAGATAGAGGTCACCGATGCCTTGTGAATATGTTGCAGAGAGAACATCTCCAATGCACATGTTTCTTGAGCAAATTGGCAACCCGGACTGAGGTTGACGCATGAAACAAGCCAAGTGGGAGAGATCAGGGAAGATAGATTTGCTGGCGTAGATAAAAGAGTCCGTGACTCCTTTTCCATCAAGCAAGACCCAAACCCAGTCAGCGGGTCATTCAATTGTGGATTGAACAAGCTCCCACACCTTAAGACAGCTTTCTCATAGCATGCAATGACTGGAGAATATCCACTAACCTGCTGCTGTGGCTTGATGGTGATAAATGATCTCCGTGTCAAATAGTTGATATCATGATACAGCGAGACAAAGGGCTGTGATCAGCCGTTCAATCTTGCGGTAACGTATCCCGAATAGATCCGATATTAGACACCTGCTCAGTCCGTTTGCAAGAATCTTGATCATTTGGGGGGTTTGTGTCATGATAGGGTCATGTCTGTCTTTGCCATAGAATAGATTAAATGACACATACTCAGGCCAGACACCACCTGGCAAAGAAAGGGTTCGGCTCTGAGACTCCGTAAGTGCCATTAAGTCCTCTGCAGTAAGAACTCTGTTCCTTTGTATCCACCAATCATATCACTAACAACAATCCTCAGGAGGGAATATATGTGCGGACTCTGGCGAGTGAACCGTCTTAGGGCTATCTTCCATTCCAGGAATATAAAGGATGAAGTAAACCATTCGAATCCAGATAGATGCCCAGTTAAGAATCTCACTGTGTATCCTCTTGAGCATGTACATAGCCTGCCATCTACCAGGTTCAGTAGGAGATATCCATCCTCTTAGGAAATCTGCGCAAATACTTCCTGCATTCCGTGATAAGATCAGGTATAATATCTTGGCGAACAGGGCTCAGGCGACAAAGAAAAGATAAAATTGAGTACATCAGATGTTAATCGATATCAAGGGAGGTCAATGTTCGATGCGAAACTCCACCTGCAGCTCTCTCATCCAGTCGCGAGAGCCCGACGGCCATGTCCCAGAGCTAGCCTGGTGTGGTGGTCATGGGTCATGCCCTATCTTGTAACATGGTGGTGATTCTTAATTGAGCAGATAGTTCCATCGGTGGAACTTGACCACTATACCTCAACGTGACGGTCGTATACACAGAGGAATGCTCGCGATTTGCAATGGAATGGACTAGCCGGTTATTCTTAAATCATCCGAAATGTAGCAACGGATCATATGCTAGGGTTAGGAGAACGATCTTTCCGCCTGGTGGCTGTTCCCTTCTTGTTCGGAGAGCTCATCTAGCTATGAGAGGATAATAAAGGCCAGTTGTTAAGGTGGACCTTGGAAGGTGGCATAAAGAACTGGCTCTGATGATAAGGTCATGTTCGTGTTATTTCCCTGGGTTATCAATACCCAACCCTTGATTCAAGTTCTTATTCTTCTCACTCATGAGTCAGGGGCCATATCATGACTAAAAGGAGTAAGGAGATATCGAAGCAATGAGGCAGATTTCATTATCTCTTTCGATTTAGATACACGCAACCAATGAACAGGAACAGTGTCATGTCCCATCTTAACCTTCCGTTTCTCCTCGATCCAACGGACTATCACCCGAGTGAGACGAATCGCGATGCGAGCTGCCACGATCAATGCATTGATCTTCGGTCCGCTGTCCAGAACAGTTTTCTGCGGAAGAGAACCACTGAGAACACCAACTCGCTCAATGGTGCAATGAGGGAGTTCGTGTATTTGACTGAGCGAGGTGGATTTAAGGTGTATGTGAGGTTGATTGACGTCGTGATTGCTAAGGCAAATGATAGTGATCCTGAGCATGTATCGGCTTTTCCAGCCAGACGGCGGTGACTGTTAGAACAGTGATGTCGGCTTTCGAGGAATACTCCGCTCTGATATGAGGATCTCGACGATGAATAGAGGGGTGTGTTTTCGTTGGAAATATAGTATGTGTGACACATGCGTGAACAAGGAATTAGTTGGTTTCATTGGGCCTTCGGCGCCGTTAAGGCAATGGATACCCATCGAACAAGCAATCGCCTGATGAGGCGATGGTCTCATCCCGAACTTGCGAGGCGCCATTTAGGGCCCCTCATAGCACCATTCTGTACAATGGTTGAGTACGGGCGGATATCCCTGCTATCTAAGCCGGTGGCGCCTTTCCAGATTCATAGGACGGGATAGGACACATTCGGCTCACTTGATCATCGCGACCGATGTAGGTCGATTGCTACCTCAGAATGGGAATTGGTGGCCCGGCTGCTTGACCGTACCATAACCTGAGAAGACTGTGTATGAAGTGGATGTTGACTGAGATGTATCGCGCACTACCGCAGCATCAACACCCTATGCCATTGAAAGGTCGCAGGCAAAGAGGCGAGTGTTCAGAGTGTCCCGTGTATTTGCAGCTCGTTGTCCTCGCTTGAGGAATCCAGACGAAGCAGCTGCACCTCCTAAGACATCTGGGTTATTCTGCATATGCATGTGCTAGCACAGCCCCGTAGTCATTCAACACCAGCAGCCATGCCACGAACATCTCGCAACGCGCAATAGGCCGTGTTGGAGGAGAAGCCTTGAAGCTTGTTGATTCAGATGGCTACGGATCCTAGCTAAGAGGGCCGAGGGTCAGATGACTGATTAGTCATCCAACACCCCCCGGGCCCGAGGATCCGTAGGAGGGCCAACATGAGGCTATTCGTAAGAACGTGTATAGGGCATACACGGCGAAACTAGTTACACGTGGTCCTTCATCCCGATAAGCTTCTTGAAACGTGAAAACGCCGTCCTTTCCAATGGCTTAGTGAAGCCGTCAGCCGCCTGATTAGTGGTGTCCACGTAGACAAGATCAACGTTGCCAGACGCTAGAGGCCGATTATATCTTATCGACTGGTATCATCGACACCGTTCTTACGGGTTCGAGGTCCGACATCGCTCCTTCTTGATGGTGGCGTCGGCACACATTGGTGCTGAAAGAGTCCTCGATATACCATGGGACCTTTTCCAGATGTAACTATCCCTGCTGTGAGGAGATCATGGTGTTCACACCAGTACGTATATCTCAAGTCCAGTTATACCCATCTCCAGCGACGTTACACGGCGGAATGTATCCGC